ATGCCCTTCCCCTTGCTCAGCTCTAATAAGAGTTCACGGCCCCCATCCAGGAGGCACCCCCAGGCCCATGGAGAAGGAGCGCTGACAGTTCCAACAGGGTAGGGCCTATATAGCAGGGGATGAGCAGAGCCCAGGCGGGAGGAAGGAGGAGCTCCTAACTGTCTACCTAGCAGCTATCTATCCAGTGCTTGCTGTGTTGAGGCACCTCTCATACAGGATTTCATTCCATCTGTATTTAAGAGCCAGCTGCTGAGTTTGACTCCTGAAGAAGGTAGACCCATCACACCCGGCCCTCCTTCCTGACCAGCTCTTTTGACCAACCTTTTCCCCTTAGTTCAGCTGAAACAAACCTGGGATTTTTTTTTTCTACCCACAAATAATTTTACTGGAACTAAAGAGGAAGCCAAGGAGGGACAATACAAAAACACAGAAGCAGACGAGTTCATCGTCACAGATTTCTTATCTGGGAGAACTTCCTGGGGAATCAGCTCCCTTTCTCTGACCCACATCCTTCATTAAAAGAGGCCTTCATCCTTTGTGTACAGTGAGATAAACACATTTTCAAAGGGGATGGGCTCCTCTGTTCCAGAGATACTTCTCCCCCTTCATCTTGCTCCATCGTCTCCCCCAAGGTCCTGACACTACCTAAGAAGAACATGATCAACATTAATTCAATACGTCCTTTTTAAAAACCTCACAATACTATGAGCCCAAATTGGGAAACATACAACAAAATAACTGTCTTGTCATCATCAAACATATTGAGGTCATGAAAGGTAAGGAAAGAGAGAAGTATCCCAAAATGAGACATGACGAGATGGGACACCGGCATGCAATGTGTGATTCCACACTGGATCCTTGTGCTTTAAAAAAAAAGTGTAATTGCCGGAGAGTGAATGGATCCAAGGATTAGATGGTAGTATTAGGCTAACGTTAATTTCCTGATTTTGATCATTGTATTGTTGTTACATGGACAAATGTCTTTATTTGTAGGAAAAACATACTCAAGTATTCACTGGTGATGGGGCAACATACACTCAAATGATACAGGGAAAAAATGTTCTTTGTATTCTATTTGCAAATTTTCTTTAAGTTTGAGATTGTTAAACAACTTTGTTTAAACTACTCTCTATCCAGCAATCCCATTTTAGGAATCTGTTCCAAAGATATACTGTTGAAAATACCGAAAGAAAGAGAAAGAAAGAAGAAAGAGCACAAGATTATTATTAGTTTTGCCACTGAAGATGAAACAACTCAAATACCCATTATTAAAAGAAGGAGTAAGAGAGGAGTAAGCAATGTGTCTATATATCACTATGGAGGGCAAAGCTATGGTCAGCAAAAAAAGCAGAGTTGAGAAAATTGTGTATATATGTGAGGAAAGGAAGTGTATATCTAGGTGTGTATATGTATGCATAACATTTAAAAAAGAATAGAAGAATAAACATAAAATTTTAAAAATAAATGATTGCCTGTAAGATATAGGAGAAAATTGGATGAAGGAAATAGGAAATAAAAGACTACTTTAAATATACTGTGTTTTATAGATTTGACTTTGGAACCATGTAAATATTTTATTAAATTACATTATTAAAAAAGTAATCCTGGAAAAGAAAATGAAACAAATGACCCTAAATGTGAATACAGTCTGCATAACCTCACACCAAGGAACAATTCCATGGGATTTTAAAACTTCAGTTTGGCTCCAGGTCCCTGACGGGACATACTTTAGGGGCAGTAAGAACTACAAGAGCAAGAAGACAACCCATTTAAACTCTTTTCAGGAATCCTACCATTGGTGGCAATGTTGGTATTTTTCTGAGGGGTGTGTGTGTATGTGTGTGTGTGTGGTATGATAGAACAAATGTGTGTATGTGTGTGTGTGTGGTATGATAGAACAAATGTGTAATTGTGTCATTTCTGAAAACCAGGATTGTCTTTGAAAACTAAGATTCTCAACTTTGGGAGAAAGGAAATGTACGATTGAAGACATTAAGCCGAATCCCTATGATCCTGATTTTAAATTGGAAGTATTAGTATGAACTCATGATGTATTTATTTTAAGAAATGAATATATTTCCTGGTTCAGTCTACTAAAAAGGCCTAGAAGCAATGAGTGACCAGTTAGCATAGAGCACCCTGATGCCCAGAGTGAGCTCAAGCAACACCATTTCCCACTAAAAGACACACGGCTCTTTGAAGAAACAGCTGATTTCAGATTAAAGCAGGAAATGCACAAGATATGCCTGGAACATCTTGTCACTCCAGATAGAAAGTTATTGAAAACTACTAGGATTGCATGAAGGGACTAAAAATTCAGCTTTATGGATAGATCTAGAGGGTATTATGCCAAATGAAGTAAGTCAGACTGAGAAAGACAAATACCATGTGATTTCACTCATATGTGGAATCTAAAAAAAACAAGACAAATGAATAAACAAACAAAAGCAGAATCAGACCTGTAAATACAAAGAACAAACTGATGGTCACCAGAAGGAACGGGGTGTGGGCTGGACAAAATGGGTGAAGGGGAGTGGGAGACACAGGCTTCCAGCCATGGAATGAAGAAGTCACGGAGATAAAAGGCACGGCATAGAGAATATAGTCCATGTTACTGGAATAGTGCTGTCTGGCAAGCACATCAATAACAGGAGAGACGTTGAATCACTATGTTGTACACCTGAAACTAATGCAACATTGTGTGTCAACTGTATTCAAATTAAAAAAGAAAACAAGCTAACTTTGAGGGGCTCCCACGGGCCAAAAATGGGGCAGTTTGAAAATGAATAGTAATAGTAACTGCAATAGACTAAAATGCATCAAATATGTTTAAATTCATGAGTTCATGTTGATTCTAAAAGATAATCAGTGGTGCGGTCACACTTGAAGGCTGGTGAATCAATTTTTTCTTTCTTGTTTTTTAATCAGTGGAAAATAGGAGGGAAAAAAATCAAGCACTTCTCTTGCCTTTCCTACACTGATGATTGCACTGCCTAACCAAGCAGTACATGAGAAGTTTCTCTTCTCTTTATAGAAGTATTACAGCTAATAAATGAGGAAGTAATGGCATTTTGCAACTTCCAATGAATTAAGGGATATAGGAATTGATCCTCAGTAGAGGATCAGAGAGATCATTGATCAGAGAGAAGCCAGATACTATGTACTTCCTGCTGGGAGAATACCACATCTATAAAGCAGTCCTACCAAAAAGTAAAAATCAGAGCTGAAGCTGATGAAGCCTACAGTCCAACGACCAATTTATAGGAAAAACAGAAGACAAAGAAACATAAAATAAGGAACATAATCAACTAAAAAAAACTTCTTAAAAAATGATGATGTTCATAAGACAACTTAATCTGAACACTGACTAAATATTCGATGCAACTGAGGACTTACCACTATTTTTTTAGATGTGATAATAGAATTGTAGTTATGTGTTTTTTTGTTTTTGTTTTTTTTCCCCTAAAGAGTCCTTCTCTTTCAGAGATTCCTTCCGAGCTGTTTATAGAAGAAACTCTATGATGTCTGGAATTTACTTCAAAATAATGCAGATGGGGTGGAGGAGGTGAGTGGGGGTATATATGAAACAATTTTGGCCATGAGTCCACAGAAGTTGAGGCTGAGTGATAGATGCCTGAAATCTTGCATATTCCATCTTTACACATGCTTGAATTTTCCACAATGCAAGCTGGGGAGTGACACCTACTATGTACCGGGGACCAGGCTGGACGCACTGCACCTAAGCCATGAATTGGCATTCCAGAAAAACATAGAGTTTTCCCTCCTGACTTGCACATGTGGGAAGGGAGAAGAATTTGGTGGCAAGGCCCTTAACTCTCCCCTTGCTTGATGAGATGAACATGCAGTTTCTTTTGCCAAGTTGGAAACTGAGAGCAGAATGCAACCCTGTCTACAAGGCTCCTGCTCGATCCTGCCGTAGGCCGGAACCATGCCACGGGGTCCAGCTGCAGAGCGTTCCCATCTACCCAGAAACACATGCCGATCTGCGCGAGAGCAAAATAGGCCCACATGTGGGGTTTAACAAAGAACCACCAGACAAAAGCCCCACAGACGCATCTGACCTCTCCCTTGGCCTCTGGGCCTTCCATGGAAATGTGAACTTTCCTTTAACACCCGCTGGACACCCTCTGGCTGTTAACAGCGGTCCTATAGAGAGCGGGCCGTGCCCTTTGGCCAAGTCAGGGGCAGAGGGCCCAGTGCTCCCAACTGCTGACATTCACACCACAATCTCCTCTTATTTCTGGGTCCCACCCTACGTGCAGTTTAGCTCCAGGCCCTTGAGGGTAGAAACATAAATTCAGCGGGACAGTCCCCTGCCTGGAGTGGTGACCTTCATTGCCCATGCCTGGGACATTTTCCCAAGAAATGCAAGAGAAAGCAGCCTCCTCAGAGAGGCACGCGGCCCCACGGAAATGCACAGCAGTGGAGGGGGCCTGGGCACAGGTCTTCCCGGGCTTGTACTGACTCACATCTGGATGGTGGTGATGGAGCATTCCTGTGGCGCCCCGTATGGCTATCCCTTCGTTCAAGCACTTACTGAGCCTGAGCATTAGAAACCTGGGGACATGTATGGAAAAAAAAAAAAAAAAAGACAGTCTTTGCCCTGAACAGCTATCAGGCAACCTCATTTAGGTGAGGGTGCGATCAGACCACGACTGAGGAGTTCAGGGGAGGGAGAGACACTTTCCAACTACTTCAGCGATGTTGCGGGAGGTGAAGTGTGAAGCAGACCCTATGAAGTGAATAAGATTTCCACTTTAATAGTCAAGAGACTGGGGGGAGTGGGATGCAAGGAGAACAGAGCAGAATGCCCGGTGGAGGGACTGTCTTGAACAAAGTAATGCAAATGGGATTTTATAAAATCCTCTGCAAGTAGAATGAGTAAAACCACTGGTGGTAGGGGACCTCCATGAACGCAAGCGGTACTGCTGACCCTCAGCAATGACCATGGCCTGTTTTATCATCTGGTTGCAACTCACCAGTCTTTCAGACGGCTGGCGATCTTCTCTGCCAAGAAAGATAAAAGTGCAGGGGTCACGGTAGTCCAATATTGCTTGCTAATACAAGCAGCAGATGAAGCGAGCCTGGAAGGAGAATTTGAGGACTGGGTCAAAATGATGTGCAGCATAGTTCCACTTACCCGTATGGAAGAGCCTGTTTGTTAACCTCCTGAATCCAGCTCTTTCCAGTCTCATGTTGGATCAACTATCTCACCAGCTTCTTGGTAAACAATGGGAGATCCACATGGTTTGGTTTTTATGAACCTTGGTACTATTAACATGTTGAGCTTGGTAATTCTTTTTTTGTAGGGGCCTGTCCTGTGCATTGCGGGATATCTAGCAGCGTCCCAGGCCTCTACCCACTAGCTGTCAGTAGCATTCAGTCTCCTAGTTGTGACAACCAAAATTGTCTCCAGATATTTCCAAATGGCCTGGGAGTCGCCCCCAGTTGAGAACAACTATAGTACATGAAGAAACCAAAATCATCCTAAAAGCTTACATTTAGTGGGTATTTATTATGTGTAAGGCTATTAAGAATTACATATGTTCATACATTCTCCCATTTAATCCTCACAAGATCCTAGTGAAGTATAGGTATAATGAGTAGTCACGTTTGACAGATGAAGAAACTAGGGGTGAGAAGGGTATATCAACATACTCAGACTCACCCTCCTCATGAACAGCCAATTCAGGATCTGACCCAAGCCCTCCAACAATGGCACCCTCCCGCTTGTCACCAAGCTGTGTTATCCAATGCCCTAGAGTCCCCAGGACTCTCTCGCCCGATTGGGAAACCAAACAATTTGTTGGCACCACCAAGATAGAAGCCCCTACCAGCAGTCCCAACTCACTTGGTGGGAATCAGACACCGCAGTCCCCCACGATGGCACACACATTGCCCAACATAGCTCTGAGAGCCCTTCGGCTGCCACGTGTTTTTACTCTGTGCCCTGCCATTTTCTGAGGACCAGGTGGCTTGCCTGTAGCCCATGTTGACAATATCCTTTCCGAAACGACATCATGTTGACTGCTTCTTGGTGGAGCACCAGTCACCCTATGGCTTCAACACAGAGGAGGGGGAAATGTACCCAGAAGGGATAAACATTTTCCCTTTCAAGTGCATGGCAAGAAGGTTGGGTACAGAGTTGCAATGGCCATTATGCCTGCCTCCCCAACATCCGCTCCTCCTCCCTTAGTAACTACACCGATTGTTATTCAGGTATCCACACCATCCCTCATGCAGCCTCGATTTTAGACACTACATAGGTGAATAGTTCATAAACATTCACTGACAAATCTGAGTTCAGATCCTAGTTCCACCGAGTACTGGATGTGCAACCTTGTCCAAATTAGTAAACTGTTTGAGCCTCAGTTTCTTCATCTACATAACAGTATAAAGAAAAAAACCACCATGCAGAATTCTCATACAGATTAGAAATAATATGTTCTGTAAAGTTGCTAGTACAAAATAAGTGCTTTTTTAGTGCCCTTGTTCTTGTGGCCAGCCATTAATCCCTCTATAGGGAGTGGTTTGCAGGGTGGTTTCTTAGTGTTATTTACGGTCAGCTGAGAGCAAATGGAATGCAGAGATGAGCATCTGATGGTAGGAGAGGCTGGGGAAAGATGCCAAGCACAAGTGCCCAGGGCCTGGACTCCAGGGTGGCAAGTGTCAAAACTTAGGGGGTGATCATTTTGCAACATTTACAAGTATTGAATCATTATGTTGTATACCTGAAACAAATCTAATGTTATATGGCAATTATATCTCAATTTTAAAAACTTTAGAGGTGCTGAGAGGGTGCCTGGAAGTTTGCTGCTTCGGCATTTCTGAACACAGGGTGCCATGATCATAACATAGATACCAACCGCCAGAGAAACACTCTGGGGGGTGGGCAGGATTTTTAGTGTCCCCCAGGTCATATTGTGCATACTCCACTGACAGAACATCCTGGAACCCTGCTCCAGAATGCTTAGCACCCACAAGCCCACAGTAGAAAGATGTTTAGCTATCTGACATGCCCAAATGTTTCCTATTTCAATTCTAGTTCATTAATTTGGCTCCCAGTGAATGAACTTTGGTGGGTTGGTCTTCAGTGGGTTGTGAGCCAAGACCAGTCCAAAATGGTCTCTGAATTGAATCTCCCATTGCTTTATGCCAATTTCTGAAATACAGATTTACTTATTTCCTACCAATCTATATCCATCAGAAACCCAAATGATGAAACTGATTTCTGGGTATTTCCTTCTTAAAGACTACAGGAAATATTGTGCACAGTTGTCCAAATCATACAGATAACAATGTGTACCACTTAGTGGGCACCTATTATATGGATCTGAATTCTTAGATTGCCCTTGCAAAGTTCTTATCCCCATCATGCATCCGAGGAAGGAACAGAAGAAGCTCAGAGAGGTTAAATGAGTTGCCCAAGGTCCTTCACCCAGTAAGTATCTAGGCCAGCATTCAAAGCTAGGACTGTCTGACTTTTTTTCTATGCTTCTAAGCTACCTTCCTCTCCTATTACTGCTACTCCTTTGATGTGTGTGTGCGTGTGTGTGTGTGTGTGTTTGGGGGGGGATGTCCTCTGAGCCCAGAAAAGCTGGCAGAATCCTCTTTTACTTTACATACTGCTTATGGAGCCAATTAGTGATGAATGAGCAAAGTCAAGAGTCTGGGAGCAGACATTCAGAAAGGAGACCCACAGGAAGAAAGGAAGGAAGAAGGGCAAGAAAGGAAGGAGGGAGAGAGGAAGGAAAGGAGGGAAGGAGGAAAGGATGGAGGAGGAAGGAAAGGAAGGAAGAAAGCTGCTTTCTCCTGCCTTGGTCATAGCAACTCAGAGGGATATTTCCAGCTGGCTTGTCAGTGAAGGGGGCAGAGACCATGACGGCTGGTGGAGCTCATCACTATCACTCATAAACCATATGTCCTCTGAAGAGAGGTGTTGACAGCACCATTTTCACCTCAGAGGAGGGGTATTTCCTGCTCCCATGGAAGAGCACATATGAGGGATATTTAACAAAGAATGCATTACAGACTCGTTGAAGAAGCTGCATGCCCCCCAAGAAGACTTACTCCAAAGGGCTGTGGGGAAAATGGGACCAAGATGTAGTCTCAGACGCTCACAGGAGGCTGCCAGAGAGGTCCCAGAGTCACCAGTTCTAAGCCACCCTCTGTGTACCCAAAGCTCGGCATCACAAAGGCTCTATTTAGAAAGTAGGGAGGTTTTACAATTGGCACATTTCTGTAAACACGTAGAATTAATTCCAATTTTACAGCTCAGTTACTCCCTGTAACACACAGTCCATAAAGCATTTACAGTGTTGTTCGAAATCTATTACTATTTACATTCCGTTCCCTCCATGCAGGTAGGATGGATCTAGGAACTTGGCCAGAGTCCTAAGGAAACAGCTAGGATTAAATAGAAACCACAAAATGTACAGCAATAACAAGAACCCCAAATGGGACATGCAAAGAACAGGGAACCCCAGATGAAGAGGATCCTGATCACACGGGGGCAAGCTCAGGGAGACAGGAGGGCTTGGGAGGCTCCCTTAGGAGGCTAGATGGATATTCAGTCCTACCTCATAGCCTACATTTCCTTTGGATTTATTCTTTCAGCACCCCATCAAAAACATCCCCTTTTGTTTTTTTGGGGGGGTGTTTTTGTTTAAGTAATCTCTATACACAATGTGGGGCTTGACCCCAAGATCAAGAGTCACATGCTCTACTGACTGAGCCAGCCAGGTGCCCCCAAGAACACCTCCTTTTGGTACTCAGAGATGGATGTCAATGTCCATTGCCTCGTGTCACGCAAATTTCTCCAGCAGTATTCTGCCCCCAACACTGCCCTAGGTCAGTGCCCAGGGTCCTGTTGACATGGAGACTATACCCCTCATGGTTTCATAGCTCAGCCTCCTGACCCCTTGTTACAGGCTGCCCTCAGGGAACCAGAGAGGTCCCTTGCCTGGCCCTAGAGTGAGTTCACTTTTCCCAAAGGTAGACTCAGGTTTGGTGAGACCTCAGGCTCATATCATTTCTGTCCCTTTAAAATAAAAACAATGCAAAATTACAAATACAAAATCAGGTACAGGGCCTTAAAAGAATCCCAAGTCCACATGCTTAAACCCACCTTTTCAGTAGACCCACTTCTGCCCCTCCCCGAGCTTTGACCACCCAAGATCTTTGATGGCTCCTGTCTGGTAGTAGGAAGCAAGGCCCGAACTTATTTCCCTGGCACACAGAGATGCCTAATTGTTGGTTTTCAAGCTCAGGGTAGAAATTAGAAAGATCAGAGTAAGAAGTAAAAAGAAGCCCAGCAAAGCTGAGGACTATTAATAGATTGAAGCACTGGGTTAATCAATTAAAAAGTAATCATTTTAAAATATCATTTTAGAAACTTACACAGAATACTTACTGGTTTATTTTTTTTTAAATTCTATTTATTTATTTGAGATAGAGAGAGCAAGCAAAAGAGAGCAAGAGAGAGCACAAGCAGGGGGAGGGTCAGAGGCAGAGGGAGAAGCAGACCCTGCTGAGCAGGGAGCCTGACGTGGGGCTTGATCCCAGGACCCTGGAATCATGACCCAAGCTAAAGGCAGATGCTTAACCGACTGAGCCACCCAGGTGCCCTAATATTTACTGGCTTAAATAAACTTATGAGATGTTGTTTACCAGCATACAACATTTTACATTTATACATTTTTGTTGTTACTGCTGTTATTCTTCAATTCCATAAATCCCGGGAGAAACTGATCACCCATTGCCTTGGGACCCAACACCCCGGATATTGAGCTGTTACTGAGCTATATACCAAATAACGTACTAAAATCTGCCTTTCGCCCTGATAGCTGGCCTGGCTGCCAATAGAGCAAGTCTAAGGCAAGAAGCACAGCTCATCTCCTGCTTAGATTTGATCCCTTGGCTACTGAAGCTGCTGTGATATGAACAGAAGAAAGAAACATTTCAAGATCCATAGTGAATTACACCAATGAACCAAGTAGCTAGACCCAGCAAGGACATACAGCCCCTGCCATCATAAGGGCTGAAATCTATGATTGCAAAAGTATAGTGGTACCTTAGACCAGAGCAAACCACACAACAGGAGTTTCAGCCCAGGTCCGCGAATAACCCTCACGTGAGCTCAGCATCTCCAGGCCAGGTGGGGGTACATCAGGCTCCGCTGGAAGGACCCCAACACAGCAGTAAGAACATGTCCTCTGGATGCCACGGCCTTTGTTATTGGAAACCCCAGGCTGGAGAGGGAAATGAAACAGCTAATTAGGGACAGAGCATCATGTTAGGCAACCAAGTATAACTCTGGGAGCAGTAGAGAAAGGTTCCGATGGGGAGGAGACTCAGGCCGGTAAGGGGAGGGCAGAAGCACCCAAGAGAAGGAAGGGACCAGGGACCAAGAGAGGGCCCGCCAACCGCCCTTGGCTCCAAGTCCTGAGGAGTCAGTGCCTCTTCAGTGGCCAGAAACAGTTCTCCAAGGGCTAGTGCTGGGCTGCCATCTGGCTTCAAGCCAGCCAGGAGAGCAGACGAGGCTGGAACCATACTTTGACTCCTGTTGTCAGGAAGAGAATGAAAGTATTCTAAAGAGATCCCTGTTCCTATCAAATCTTTTCACTTTGGAAGCTTCTTGCTGGCATTTCCTGGTTGTGTTTGGGTCCTCTCACCAGACTGGAAGGTCCCTGGGAGAACATGCCTTATCTAAATAATAATAGATTCCTCTCGTGGAGCTCTTACTGTGTGCTAGGAATTGCTCCAGGCATTTTGTCTTCAGTTGTCTCACTTCATCCTCCCAATGCCATTTTATACCTCAGGAACTCGAGGCTCAGACCAGACTTTATTTGCCTAGGAAAGCACAGCTAATTTAGTGGATAATTAGCACTCAAGTCCAGGATATCTGATTCTAAAGCCATTTATTAAATGTTTGCCAAATTCATTGAACTAGTTCCTACTGGATATGAAGATGTGAATACAGTCAGCTCCCGATGCAATGATTAAAAATAATCCTAAAGCAATTCATCCAAAATTCATCACCATTTGACCCCAGAATATACTTTTGTCCACATAGTTAAGCCATATGTAGGAACATGAGTATGTTTGCTATTCCAGGAATTTATAACTCTAAACAAAACGATAAAGACACTCAATAAGGAAGCTCAAAATGATGAGTTTTCCAACTCTGATTTTCCTTCTAGAAGTTCTCCCTATACAGACATCCGTCCTGAGCCTGCTTCTCCTCTCCATCCTAATCCTCTCCACTTTTAATTTCCAGTTCCAAGCTCCCTTGAGCTTCCACATTCACATATTCAGCTGCTTCTTTGACATCTCCACTTAGATGGCTAACGGGCATCTCAGACATCCTCCACAGCAGACCCCTGTGTCCCACCACCTTCCCCACCTGTCCTTCTCCCAGTCTTCACCATCTCAGGACGTGACATCACCTCCCACCCAACTTCTCAGATCAAAAACTTAGAAGTCATCCCTGATTGCTCCTCCACAGCCCACCCATTGCTGATTCTTGCTGGTTCCTCCTCCAACATCCCTCCTGGATCTCATCTAAGCTGTCATCAGCTTTGTGGGTTCACAGAGGAAGCCTCAGTCCTCTCATCTACAAAATGGGTAGCCCAGATAATTTACTTTCTTAATTTCTATTTTGGTCATCAAATTGTTAAGAAAAATGCTAATGTTTTTCAGGGATAGCCCTGCTCAGAAGAGGGGGATTGTCTTTTCCAGGTCTGTGATTCTGATAGAAGATGTAAGATGCCATACATTCCATTACCAAAATATTTCCTGGTCTATCCACCAATTCATATGACAAAATTCTTCTCTTGGGAAAATCATTTACCCATTTTAGGTGAGGGTTGGCTTTTGTTTTTCCTTTCTGATCCCAGCTGTTTAAAAAAATAATAAAACTTGAAGAAGATAATATAGATATTTCATCTTTATATAAAAACAAAAGTTAAAGGTTAACTTACTCAACAAGAACGTATTTTTTAATGACAAAGATGGTCTTAAAGGAAACTGGGCAATCACGAACTCCCTTAGCAGCATTAAATAAATTCCTCTTCTGTGAAGTATCAGGAACGGTTTATTTCCCCATGCCCTCAAAGGCAATCTGGATTTTCAGTTAGCCATCACACAGGTAGACTGAAAGAGGAGCTGTAGTTGCTGGTAGATTAATTAGAATTTTTTTTTCAAATATTTTTAACACACTCTTCCAGTTACGCAACCAACCTTAAAAAGTAGATCTTAAAATCTTGGAGTCTGTAACACTTTGGGTCAGTTTATATAAGAGAGAGAGAGTGTGTGTGTGTGGGGGGGTGTGAGTGTGTGAGTGTGTGTGTGTGTGTGTGTGTGTGTGATCTCGCCCAGGATCTCTTCGCAATCTGTGCTGGTCTGTGTGAAGTGGTGGGCCCCAAGCAATAGTGCAGAACTAGATAGCACAGCTCCAAGGCCGCGCTCTCTCATACACATTCCTGGGAAATGTAATCTTGTGGTTTCCAATCTCATTTCTCTTAGACTACAGATATGAGTGAATTTTACTTTGAAAAGAACACATGCACTTTGGTTTACATTAAGATTAATTTGAGATATATAAAGAAAATAGAGCCATTTGGGACCAATATTTACTAAATCTGAATCTCCATGATACTGCATCAGACTTAATTAGTGCTTACTTTCTAACTTAATTGTGACAGGCTTCCTTCTGTTTACATTTCTGCAATTAAACAAACCATCACCTCCTCAGTGATCCCTCTTGAAGAAGAAACGCAGCTGGCTTGAAAGTTAGCTTTGGTCCCTAGTCCCTCCTTCCTCACCTTTTTTTTCTTATAGACTAAACAAACAAACAAAAAAACATAGTCTGCTCCCCACCCAGCTGTTAGGGATATATAAACTCGTATTGACAACCAAATGAAACATATAAATGACAGTCTATTTCTTTCAAAATTTACAGGAGTGTACTGGGGTCATAGAGTGACTGATAATTTAATTCTACCGCATTAGTAATGGAGAGCCCCTCCTGGTTGTTTTTCGGTCAGTTACATGAGAAGCTAGCAATTAACGATTTAAACTTTAAAAACAGCAGTATTGATTAATTCACATGCCGTGACTTACCATTTGAAATTAGAAATACTACTATAGAAAAAGTAGATCTCTCACTGAGATCCTGGGCCCATCATTTGATATGTTTCTAAAACAGCATCTTCTTAGATTAGGTGGTAGGTGATGGATTAGGGCTCCATTTAATTTCCTGGATTGCTGAGAGGCCTAATTCTAACCAAATAGAGAATGTAACTTCCGATCTCAGTGTGTGCTCAGGATGAACATAATTCCCTAAAAAGAAAGAGCAGTTTGAAGCAACTCTGAGTTGTGGTTAATAGAGCAGGATGCAGCTGTGGGCAGATACAGCCAGCGAAGAGAAAGAAGGTGGTCTGAAGTTATAAGCACAAATTAATTCCCCGTAGTTTGTTGGCTTTTGAAAGCTGTGACTTCGGGTTTACCTGACTCGTGACCAAGGACGGAAGAAGGAGCTGCCTAAATCACGCACTGAAGGTAATGAAGACAGGGGTGACTTAGTTTCCAAACAATGTGTTCCAGCAACACGGGACTTTCACTTCTGTGCTCACTGGTGGACAACGGCTCTTAGTTGGCTAAGCCACCCTCACGAGTACCAACCGTTCTCATGGCACACCTCAACTACATTTGGACAGCATACCTTTCATCTCCCCTTGCCTGGAACAATGATTAATTTGTCATTGATTTAGAGCATGTTGGTTTTTTGTTGGCTTATTAACAGACATTATCCTGTACGCTTTTGGCTTGTGAAATTCCTGCACTGAAACTGTGTTAAATAAACTATTGGCAAAGACAATCTCAGTCCCTGAGCATGAATTTGCCCCCAAACAATACAATCATACTGATGAGAAGAGACCATATCCTAAGTACCGCTCGAGTGGTCCCCCTTTGATGCCTCATATTTAAATGTCTTAAAGCACAGAAGCTCTCATTGCCCCAGCAGAGGATGGTAACAGAAACTTTTTTTTTTTTTTTTGCGGCATGACAGAGGCTGTTCATCCATACAGACGTTATGCAGAGGCTCATGTTATTAGAGCTTCTCTGAGGTTAGAGGGCCCAAATAAAAACCTACTTTTGGGAAAAGACACCATGGGAGTTCACAGGCAGGAAGGGGGGAGTCAATTGAGATTCTAGAATCCATACAACAGCTTGAGCTGTCAAAGGCGGACGGTAGGCGTAGAGTGGGAACACTTGATCTGAAAGGCCCAAACAAAAACCCTCCCCACCACCCCCCACCTCCCACCTCCCACCCCCCAGAGATGTTGAGCTTCTCGGGAACAACTAAACATTGACTATAAAGAGTTCTAACTTTGGGAGCCTGAGTTGTGACCCCTTTGGCCAAGTAGAACCCTAAGGAACGTTGTTCTACTTCAAGAATCACTTTGACCCTGCACGGGAATTTGTACTTTCTTGTTGGTTGCACATCCCAGCAAGGAGTTGCTTCATTTACCTTTCAAAGGGTTGGAGAGAGGACTCTGAGTGCCCGGACCTGCCCCCCACCTCCTGGGCCTCAGTTAGACTGGTTTCTCTGGCACACAGCAAACCATTCCTCCTCGGAATGGCCAGTTCATTTAGTGCGGTCACGAGCAGCAGTCTCTTCTCTGTGCGGGCTTTCTCAACGCATGATCATTCCCTCCAGGTGATGTGAATATTGTGGTTCACTCTACTTGTTTGTGCCCTATAGTATTTGAAAGAAATGATGTAAATTTGAGAAATCTACCTAATCATATTGTTGCGTTCCTAGAATCAGTAAGTCTTTGCAGTCAATAGCAGCCTTGTCTGTGTGTTGGTATGTATTTTCCAGGAGACCCGTGGCAGTTTCCAAATGTCACCACTTTACTTTGCATTTTAATCTCCCACCCTGGCAACTCCTTGGCTAGGTGCTGGGTGAGTGTTAACATGAAGCGAAAGCTGGTAAATTTGATACAAGGGCCCTTCACTCCTTTCTTCCTCCTCCCCCCCACAACACACCTAGAGTGCGTGCACATGCGCGTGCACACACACACACACACACACCCCGCAGAGCGGAGAGCCCTGTGCTAAAGATGGACAGCAGATAGAATGGTTCTCCCAGGTTTTCATATGAAGCCCCTGTTGCCTTCATTTGGTGGGGCAAGAAACTCGAACTCACAGGACATCTTTGACTAACACAGTCAATAGCAGAGTG